ACTCAGTCTGGGAAGCCCGAATGAATACAATAAACACCAATAATCATGACAAATGTTTATTATAAATAGAGATGGATGTAATGTAATGAAAATCTGGTTATACATCTCCCTATCTGCGCAGGTGTGTCTTTGAGATCTGTTGTGCGAGTACCAAGGGTCCAAACTGCTGAAGGCCTTGAACGTCCGTCACTGAGATGTCTCGGAGGTAATGGGAAGCGAACACGGTATCGGATTTCCAAAAACATCCCTCCATAATTGCGGTCAAGGAGCAATTACTGTGAAGTGCCATGGTGGAAGCGACAGCACGGGTTTCGTGAGGATTAGATGCGACTGGAGCAGGTAAGCCAGCGAAGGTGTAGGCTCGAAGGATCACTGAGCGTATCCAAAACGAGATTGTGGTACGGGATACCTCCGTAGTAGCTGCCGCAGAGAGCGGGATGAATAACCTCTTACGTAATCGACGAAGTGGTTTCCCCGCTTCCAGATAGATTCGAAGTGCACGTACCGGACACAACGATATGTCTTCGTCAGGGTTTAAGAGGGCAGTCAACGGTGGGATACTGAATAGTCGATCGGGTTGACCAGGGAGTTGATTTTTGGCGATGAAATCCCATCGTTGTCCCAAAAATACTTTCCCATGTGCGGTTCGTTCGAAACGCACTCTGTTGACGTCTAAAGCGTGAATTTCACTCACTCGAGCCGCCGTTGCAAGGGCCAGAAGGAAAACTGTCTTCAAAGAAATGTGTTCGAAATCTTTCTCGGCGAGAGGTTCGTACTCGGCCGACGTTAGATGGCGAAGTATGATGTTTAGATCCCAAGTTGGTGGTCGAAAACGGGATGTTTGGTCCGCCAACTTGTACGATCTGATCAATGATTGTAATTCGGCGATTGTTGAAATCTTAGTGCCCGTTGTAGTTGCGATGACAGAATTGATCGCAGCTAAATAGGTAGCTAGAGTCGAACCTTTTAGTTTACGAGATGATCGAAGATAGTGAAGGTATTCAGCAATTTGTTGCGGGGATGCCGTGGCAGGTGTGGAAATGTCATGTGAATGACAAAACGATTCAAATGCCTTCCATTTATGGTCATATAGTGCTTTAGTAGATGACCTGTGCGCCCCCGCAATGGTCTTGGCCACTCGTTCAGAATAACCCTTAGCTATCAATAATTTCTGTAAATGCGCCAAACGCATAGATTGAGGGTTGTTGGCGACGGATGACGGAGCTGAGAGTGTGGTTGATGCAGAAGATCGTCCCTTAGAGGTAGATGGTAAAACTTTCTGTCTGCGAGACGAATGAGCGGTATGAACCAACTGCGTGTTGGCCAGAAGGGCGCGACCAAAAGTAGAGTGAGGCGATTGGTCGTTGATATCTTCTGTAGAACCCGATGTAGAATGCCGGTTGGGGGAAAGGCGTAAGCATGTAGTCCTTCCCATGGGATTGCTAACGCATCGTGGTCCCAGGCTAGGGGGTCTGGGATAGGAGATACGAACTGGGATAGCTGAGTATTGAAGCGGGTTGCGAAGAGGTCGACGTCTGGGCACGGAAATAACTGGCAAATCCACTGAAAAATCACAGGATGTAGACGCCATTCCGTGGGAGATGGTTTGTCGGGTCGGGACAGGGAGTCGGCTATGACGTTGGCGATGCCGGGAATATGTCTCGCTCGAACTTGAATGTTGAGTGAGTCGATCAGTTTGAAGAAGTCGAGTGCTAGAGATAGAAGTGACGTTGACTTGGTAGATCCCATCTTGTTTATGTACCACACGACCGATAGGTTGTCTGACTGAATCATTAGTGTGGAGGACTGAAGGAGTGTTGACAAATGAGACACTGCCAGAATCACTGCTTTGAATTCTAGATTGTTGATGTGAAGCTGGCTTTCTTCTAATGACCACCGCCCTGCCACTTGTAGGTCTTGGCAATGAGCTCCCCATCCGACGGTTGAGGCGTCGACGAACAGGTGGAGGGTCGGGCTGAATGGTTGCAAGGAGACTCCTTCGCAGACATTTGATGGAGTTAACCACCATTTGAGGTGTGGGTGTAGATGGTTTGGAAGAGATATTAGAACCTGACAATCGTCGTCCTGAAGGAAGGGCTTGAGGAAGCACTGGATTGGCCGTAAGTGAAGTTGACCTCTCTTGGTGAGGGCTTGTGCTGATGTTAGGAGACCGAGAAGTTGTTGCCATTGACATAAGGAAATTGGCTATTTGAGTGCCAATGGAACGAGGCGTTGGATTTTCTCCCAACGATCTTGGGGTACAAACATCTTGCCCAGACTCGTGTCGAAGAGGGCTCCGATGAACTGGAGACGTTGTGTTGGAATAGTTTCGGACTTTTTTGGGTTGATGATCCAACCTAGTTGATGAAGTAGGCGTTGAGAGAAATCGAGGTGATGAAGTAGAGTGTTCGAATCCTTGTTGGCTTGAATGCAGTCGTCGATGTACGTTTCGAAGACGATGCCTCGAGTGTGTAGGAACTTGACGATGGGTTTTGTGAGGCGAGTAAATAGCCACGGGGCCGAAGAAATTCCAAATGGGAGCACTCGCCATTGGTAGTGTTGGCCTAGGAACACAAACCGAAGAAAATGGCGGTGCTCTGGCAGGATAGGGACGTGTAAGTACGCTTCTTGTATATCTAGGCTGATCATGAAGTCGCAGGGATGAATAATCGTTCGTAGTAGAGCGATTGATGTCATGCGAAAGTGTGGAGGAGTCTCTAGGTATAGTTTGTTGAAGGTTTTCATGTTGAAGATGAGACGTAGTTGAGGACTGTTTTTCTTGGGAACCAGAAAAATTGGAGAATAGAACCCTGGTGTCATTGGCTGAGTGCCCAGACGCTCTATTGCGTTCTTTACAAGTAACGTGTTTATGGTGTCTATGAGAACTGGAAGTTGTTTGGCTGGATACAGATGTTGAGGCGGTTTGCACGTCGTTGGAGGTGTGGTGGCAAGAGGTAGAGGATAACCTGTTTGTAGGAGACGAGACACATATGGGTCGTCTAGGATGGTCCAGTTTAAAGCGAACGTGCCTAGTCTTCCGCCTACGGGAGACGAGAAAATCGGAATGGCTGGAGTTGGAAGGTCCCAGTCGTTCTGCTGTTGTAGTGAGTCATTTGTGGTTAGTGTCTCCTGGCTTAGGAGAGTTAGTGTTTCCTTTAGTCACTGAAAAGGAGACGGTGCGTCCGCCTGATTTCCCTCCTCGCTGATGTTGGCGTGCTCGGCCACGGCCACGAAAAGAAGCAGACCTATTACTCAAAACTTCTCTAAGGTCTTGTTGAGAAGGAGTAAAGGTTGGTCGTCTCCGGTCTTTCCTTTGTTCTTCCAGTTGATTTTTCTGGAGACGAAGTAAGTCAACAGTGACTTGCAGGGAAGTGTCTCTTTGGACTTCATGGGCGACCTCCTGTATGCGCCCAGCAAAAAGGGAGGGTGTTGACCATGGCATTTGGTTCAGCCTGTTCTTGAATTGATCATCCCATGAGCAATGTTGTAACACCCCCCGTCTACGAAGAGAAGTGATAGATCCCGCATGGTGAGCAAGGAGGTCTAGTATAGCTGTCGTTTTATCCTGGATGAGGGTCACAGCACCTCGAATACAGGATTCTTCCGAGGAAGATGCATGAGCTAGAGCCGACGAAAGTGCTTCAGTTGCTGATAAAATAGTGGAGACCAACGGGAGGGTCCTTCGAACAGTGTTGTCGAGGTGAACGAGATCCCTGTCATCCACTGAAGAAGCTGAGTACGGACGCTTAGGAGCTAATGTTGCGATGTCACCATCTAGTTCGGGAGAAATCGTAGACAAGCCATGAGTCCCTGCATCCGCCAATACAAAGCGTGGAGATTGAAGCCGATCACGAAGACGGCGAAAGGATCCAAATGCTTTGTCTAAATTGGTGGCCATATCCTGTAGGACTGGTCTCGGAGGGAGTGTGATGTTCGGCGACGAGGCTGAAGGCACAACAAATGACGATAAAGTGTCCTCCGTTGAAGTGCTTTTTAACAATTGTAACTTATCTGCTATCCAGATAAGTACAGTGATCGGATCCGCTATGTCGAAGCTCCCAGAAGAGGAAGCTGGGGAGGTATAGTGGTCTGATGACTCTGATTCTGGTGGTTGATCCACTGAAAGGGATGTAATGGGTGTAGATAGAGGTACCGTAGTTGGTACAGCAGGTGCCGGTTGGGGAAGACATGCTGCTGTTACAGCCTGTAACAGAGAACGAATCTGTTCTGCTGGAATAGCAGAAAGTTCGCTAGGGATCCATGATGTAGGGATAGCTTGAGATGGAGCTTGTGATGTTGCAGGAGTCTGTGATTCAGAGGAAACAGGAGGGCGTCGAACCGGAGGTGGCGATGGGGAGCCGGTACGACGAGTAGGTTAAGTAGAACTCTGCCTATCTTTAGGTGAAGGACATCTACTAACGGTAGCTGATCTGAGTGGTCTATCTCTATGTCGCCGAGGAGAATCCTCATGACGAGAAGAGGAAATGTAGCTTGACCGATAAGGTCTGTAATCTGGATCATGAGGATACCCATGCCATGGAGGGTGGGGATTCCTGTAGTGTGGGTATCGTTCCAACTCGTGTGCGTAGGCACTATATGAAGTAGTGTTCCATGGGTAATCACCACGTTCATGAAAATCAAAAGTGTGAGGGTAATCTCTTAGTCGAAAGTCCGGATGGGTGAGTGAAGGAGAAGATCGAGACATGTAGGATGAATGGCTAATAGACTCGTTGTAGCGTTCATCCTCCGAGCCTAGACGTGATGGGTCTGAATAGTCTCTTCGTGAGACATGATAAGGGGATGAGCGATAATCCGCTCGCCTGTCATAAGACGAGTCACGATCTGTAGGTGAACGTCGCATATCAGGGGAGTCTCTCGAATGTCTCCGTTCCTTGGAGGTTTTATGAACTCCCGTGTCCCGTTGAACCTCCTTTGAAGTGTGTCGATACTTAGGAGTCCGTATGTCCTTCGAAGTTCGGTTCGATGATGTTCGTTGAACCTCAGAGGTTCGACGAGGCTCGAATTCTCTTTTGTTTGTCCGAAGATGTACGATTCGAACGTGACTGTCGCACCTCGGGAGTACAGCGACGTTCGGAGGTTCGACGATGTTCGAATGTTCGACGAGGTTCGGATGTTTGACGAGGTTCGGAGGGTCGGTTATGTTCGGAGGTGCGATGAGGTTCGGAGGTTCGATGAGGTTCGGAGGTTCGAGGTTCGGAGGTTCGGAGGTTCGGAGGTTCGAAGTTCGGAGGATCGAGGTTCGGAGGCCCGATGTTCGTAGGTTCGAGGTTCGGAGGTTCGGAGGTTCGGAGGTTCGGGGGTCCAAGTTCGGAGGTTCGGTGTTCAGAGGTTCGAGGTTCGGAAGTACGAGGAACCTTCGATGGTGGGATGTTCGGTGAATCATCTCGGTGTCGAGAGTGAGAAGTCCGTTGGTCCCAGTCTGAATGCCGATCCCCCGATGATTGCACTGAATAAAGTGCACTGACTGTCGATGCTAGTCGATCCCGGGACGAATGTCTATCGTCTTGTGAATCCTCTTTGGAATGGGAGGTTCGTGAACCTTGATCCGATGAGTCGTCATACGACTCCTGGTCTTGAGAGGATCGATCCTGCGAAGATCGTTGTATGGGAGATTTCGAACGACGGACCGAACTTATAGGGTCGACCGAGGTACCAGTACCATGTGTACCCTCCGAAGGTAAAACAGGAGCGAGCTCCCTGTTAGTCGTAGAACACGACGAGTCGAAAGTACGAACCTCGGTCGGGTTGGATACGTTGGCTGACGTAAGCCGGTCATCCACACTCGTGTCTAACGAGAGGACTCGTCGAATGTCCGAGTCTCGGGATGTGGAGGGTAGGTTCGGCTTTGAAGGTGGATTCGTGGATACCTTAGACATGTCGTCTGTGAGAAAAGAGTCAGAGACCCCCTCATCGTCTAACGAGATCATGGGACCAGTTTGATCCCGAGTATTCTGGCCCGCCTGTGAGGGTGATCGGGTCGATCTCGCTTTCTTGACCGGTGTTTTCTTGGCTTTCGTGGATTTTTCTGCAGTCTTAGAGAGACGATCTGACACCCGACGCCGACATTTATGCAGGTACAGTTTGAAGGATTCATCTGGTAGATCGGAGCAGAGCTCGCAACGCTCTAATAAACTGCATAATCCACGACAATCCGAACATTGGGCATGAGGGTCAGACGGAGAGAAAACACGTCGGCACAAAGTGCAGACAGGTCTCCGTGTAGACTGCTCGTCCATTATGATGAATAACTATCCCAAACAGGGATATAAGTAAATTTGCAGGCAATTAGACGACAAAAATATGAAGATCGCTTGCAAGGGAAAAGAAAAACCCAAAATGGATTCCTGTAATAACACGTCACCACTGCGTGGCGATTTGAAAGAGAATGAGTTGACTGGGATAGACACGTGATCAGTGCAAGAAGGTCAACCAGCATGCATAGCGCGCATAACCCAGATCTGGGAGGTGACCGTGACGATGTGAGGTATGACAGGGTTAATTAACTTTAGAAGCTGGAAACTTTTATTTCAGATATGTTTCCACTCAGAATCGAAAGAAGAAAGAGAGATGCACAGTGTGAGATAGGATAAGTTTAAAAATTAAGCCATTATACATCTTGTAAGCTTCTGAAAACGTGTCTCCTGGTAGTGGTTGGGATCGCCAATTTTACAAAATGTGTTTTTGGATAATCAAAACAAAAACACTTTTGTCAATAATTTCTGGCTATTTTGTCTCAAAGTCCACAAATCCGAATCTACAAACGTCCACATTTGACACTTGATATTTCTTTAAAAGATCGTCTTCAGTGAAATGACTGCTGAATACTGCTGTGTTTGTTTAAATTGTGTCTTAGAACCAATATGTTCAGCAGACGACACCATCTTAACGCAGCAGACGACACATCTCAAGTGGAAGCGGGCGTCAGCGCTCGTGGCCATAACACAGCTTCAGCGATTCCATCAAGTCGGTTACCATAGCAATGCGATAAACAAGAGACTCGGGGGAAAAAACTATGTTGTTCCCAACCAAAGAATATGCATGGAACGCAAAAACATTTAAACCTATATAAAGATATCTCGACGATCTTATCCCTCATTAGAAGCGTTAATTGGACCAATGATATATTGGTTACCGCATTGAATATGCAACCTTTCATTATGTGCCTAGAGGTAGCATGTGCCATAGAACGTATTTGTTCTTGTTAGACTTCGTCCAAATCACAAGAAAAAAAAAAATCTAACAAGGCGGGATTGTCGATCGTTGAATTAACATGGCCAAAGCGAAAATGTTCATTTTCTTGGTCGTGTTCGTTGTAAATGTATGGAAGGACAGTCGCGGATGGTGTGCCCGGGTTCTGTCTTAATGATTCGGAAGGTGGGTGTCATTTAACCAGGTTTCTGATCAGATGGGGTGAGTGAGTATGGTTTTACGCCGCCTTTAGCTATATTCCAGCAATATCACGGCGGGGGACACCAGGAATGGGCTTCACACATTATACCCATGTCGGGAATCGAACTCGGGTCTTCGGCGTGACGAGCGAACGCTTTAACCACTAGGCTACCCGACCGCCCCTCTGATCAGATGACTGCATGAACCCGGCAGTGTTCAAGATTGCGTTTTCTTAAATTAACTTATTTTATTAGAAAGCTACTCGATAAATCACAAAGAACAATGAAGAGCGGTTTACTTCACGATAAAACATTGTTCTATTATAACGTTATTTATGGAGATTCGAACATACGCTCGTAACATTCGTGACCAACTCGTGTTATTCCGGGACAAGCCGAATAGCGACTCGTGCCCCTCTCGTGGCCATTTTTGCGACCGGGTTCCGTCTTGGCGCAAACGGGCATACCTAAAACAATTGTCAACTCGTTGTGTAATGGTTCACACATATTTCCCCGTATATTATATATATTTCAGATGCAATTTAAAGCAGATCTGAACATGTGGGATTATACAGTATGTTTGAACACATTTAACTGTGTCTTGGGTATATTTTTAGATGCAAGACATATGTAAAATCAAATATTATTTCTGAGGGATTCTTTGACGATGAACTTGAAATCATACGCGCATTCTGATTGGTTTAATCGTATTTTCGCACATATCATTCATCGATGGGGGACGAGTCTTCTTGCAGGTTACGGAAAGGGGCGAGTAGTGACGAATGACGCTCGTAACTTGATGACGACGTATATTGGATGACGTTATTTTTGAAAGGGAAGTGTCGAGTGAGCTGTTTCCCATAGATGCAGCTGGGAAACGCAGATAAACGCGATGGACGAACGATCGCATCCAAAAGCGGAAGAGATATCACAATCAGGCGTGGGAGAAAAGGTACAGGTAATCGTCGTTAGGATTGTGAGAAATACATGGGGAAATATATGCGGGTAATACCCACCTGTGCATAACCTGAGGTGAGAAGAAATGAAATAGGGGCGAACCATTTGATATTTAGGGGTGATGGAGGGGCTTGAGTGAGTAGTAGAGTCAGGTTCATTCTTTATTTTTAGAAGCTGAGGTTGTTTTTTCGTCATAAAAGAGAGAGGAGATTATTTTTATGTCCCATTTCAAATTCAACATAAGGAAAGAATGTCACAAATGTTCTCACTGTTCACTAAAACAGTGCAGATGTAGGTGATTTTAAAACGGTACATTGGATATAACAGTATAATAACCATTTTTATCTAATAAAGGACAATTTTTACAACGCCGTTTTAGGAAAAGAAAAGTGTGCAGTTTTCTTCAGAATGGCAGAAAACTGGTCAACTTGACATGTTTGTACCCTCAACTGCTCGAGGAATGTACTTATCAATTACTGAGATTGTGGATTATGGACATAAATAGCATAACGTTTGATCTCCCAAACAATCAAAACAATTCGCTAAGTAATGAACGTACTACAGTACGCAGATCAATGGAACTTGAGTTTGAAGTGAATCTTTGGCTGCACTTACAGCATTCCAGCTTTCAAAGACATGGGTATAAAAGGAACGACGTGCTGTTCATTCACACCCAAACCGCATTCGTGACCAACTCGTGTTATTCCGAGACAAGCCGAATAGCGTTACGGAAAGGGGCGAGTGGTGACGAATGACCCAAATCGTTGGACAGTACAATGCTATTATTAACCCCACAACAGAAAGTACATGGTATGATAGTACGAGTTTTGGCTGTAGAAGAATGATAGTCACCAGGCGCATAGCCTGATTCAGGCAGTGAGTGAGTGAGTTTGATTTTATGCCGCTTTTAGCAATATTCCAGCAATATCACGGCGGGGGACATCAGAAATGGGCTTCACACATTGTACCCATGTCGGGAATCGAACTCGGGTCTTCGGCGTGACGAGCGAACGCTTTATCCACTAGGCTACCCGACCGCCCCTTATTCAGGCAGACTGGGCGAAAGACAGACATGCCTAGGAGTGGCAGACCTCCTGTTAGCGCCACACAGGAAACTTTAATTGTGTATCCTCCATCTGAGGAATGACGTTATCACTGTGACGTCATCAGCTGGGGTCATCCTGTCAGTCGCTGGACAGTGTCCTGAAGACTGTGTCGGTACAATATCAGATCTTGCATGATCCCCATGGGGGGCGTACACAATACTGACTGACATTTTTTCTGTAGGATTTAAGGGAGTTTCATTCTGATTCCAGTCTGGATGGTTGATCGAATACTGAACAACTGTGGACAAAATGCCTTATTTCTTTGTTCTCATTCATGGCATAACGTGAATTCATGTATTTTGACAACACAAGTTCATGTATGTTTATGTTGTATTGTTTGTGCTGTATTGTTTGTGTTCTAGTGTTTGTGTTGTATTGTTCATGTTGTATTGTTTATGTTGTATTGTTTGTGTTCTATTGTTTGTGTTGTATTGTTTGTGTTGTATTGTTCATGTTGTATTGTTTGTGTTCTATTGTTCATGTTGTATTGTTTGTGTTGTATTGTTTATGTTGTATTGTTTGTGTTGTATTGTTTGTGTTGTATTGTTCATGTTGTATTGTTCATGTTGTATTGTTTGTGTTCTATTGTTCATGTTGTATTGTTTGTGTTCTATTGTTCATGTTGTATTGTTTGTGTTGTATTGTTCATGTTGTATTGTTTGTGTTGTATTGTTTATGTTGTATTGTTTGTGTTCTATTGTTTGTGTTGTATTGTTCATGTTGTATTGTTTGTGTTGTATTGTTTGGTTTGACTTTTTCGTCTTAGAAACACACTTTTATACACACTATTATGCATAATATAATTTCAAAAACTTATACTTGTACTCATTATACAAAGACTATAACACCATCCTTCGTAGGTTCCACGTGAGCTGGTAGTTGTTTGAAAACAAGGAAGCGTAGATAACTTAAGACTGTTATACTCAGATATGGAACCAAAGTCTCCCCAGAGCCTCGTAAAGTGGGGGACGTACTTCCTGTCAATAAGTGATTATTGATATCAATAATTGATGTTCTCACAACCCGCGAGTGATTAAATATGCTCGATCAATATTTCATATTACAAATATTAGTTTCATGAATATTAAGAAATTTCTTTATCTCAAAGCGCATGGGCGGACAATCGAACGAGGACAACAAATCCCATTTAGCCAACAAACTTTCGCCCCATTTTATGTCCTCCGAACAATGGCTAAAACCCTGGCGCTGTGCATGGTAATATTCCGTGTTGCTAAAACGTGACATTGGCACTCTCGTAGGATTGTAGATCATAGTTGACATGAGTCTTTATTACTGACAACATTATACACCTTGCTGCACCAAGGTCACAATTACATATAACGCTGCCATTTAGAAATGTCGACAAACAAGGGCAGTCAAAAATAACCTGTGGTGCCAAACTAGATACGTGTGGGACAAAAATAAAAACTAAATCTATATATATATAGTATCTGTAACATACAATAATCCGTCTTTAATGAATTCAATATTATTTTCTTCAAAGTGTTCTGGTCGTTTTGATGCAGTTTGGGAAATCACCGAGATTACAAATTACGATGCATCTCGTGGTCTTATTGTAGATGTTTAATCATATCATCTATTTGACTTACCGTATTCGACGTAATAAGCGCCCCGCTCTGATAAGCGCCCACGGCGATATTTGCTAATATATTGGCTAGTGAACAATCCCAATTGGCACCCTTCTGATTGATCAATGTACACAAGACTTATTTTTTCGCGTATAATACGCACTCGTGTGTTATATGCACCCTTAATTATGGGCAATTAAATTCTGGAAAAGTATATCTGTCGCACATAAACATTTCAAGCTGTCAGCAAAAACCACGAAACTTATGTTTCAACCCTGTGTTTTTTCAAGTAATATTCTAATAAGAGGCACCTAATTTTGAGAGCGCCCTGAGCGATTATTACGTCGAATACGGTAATAATAACAAAACGAAACATCTAAAGGCCACATTATTTTTAAATTTTGGTTTTCGAAACCGTCGACTCCCTAAAAGACAATTGTGAAAAAATGAAAAGATGTGTCTGTTATACTCCGCCGACCAAGTTTTTTTCTTAAAACCCCTCATATACTGTCGCTATCAGTTTAAATATATTGAAGTCAGAGCATCCTCTCCGCAGCAGGTAACAGTTGGAAAGAATTGCTAGATTTGGGAAAGTGTAGATTCAAGAATCTGTTTTTAGCATTAAAACAGCCAATCCAGACTAGATATGTGTTGTTGTTCACACTTCCCCCCTGCCTACTTAACATTTGAGGAACAAAACATATTAGTATTTGAAATTGGAATTTTTAATTCTGTTTTTTCGGCAGTGGACATATTACCCAGAACCAAACCCAGTTATATCTTTGAGAGAGTGAATAGGATTTTTTGGCAGCTGTTAGCATTAATCCAGCCATATCACAGCCACAAACTTACCTCACCGCCGTCACAATTCAGATGCTCCCGTGAAGAATTGATCTTCAGCAACCCATGCTTGTCGTAAGAGGCGACTAACGGAATCGGGTGGTCAGGCTCGCTTACTTGGTTGATGCATGTCATCGTATCCCAATTGCGTGGATTGATGCTCATGACGTCAATAACTGGATTGTCTGGTCCAGACTCGTTTATTTACAGACCGCCGTCATATGACTGGAATGTTGCTGAGTGCACACCAAACAACAACCAATATTTAGAGGAGCATTGATCTTCAGGAATTCCGGGTAAAGTGAACACCCTGTTCCGCTTTGCCTGGACAATCTAAACCATTCAGTATATATGTCCAAACGACCATGTTAATATATAGTTACATTTCTCCCGTCGTATACCATGCCTGAGTGTTGGTGTGCAGGTGACCTTAGCTGTACCACGTGACAGATGCACGATAACCCGGATGTAATCTGACCCCTGCTGCCTGTCCGGGCAAATTTTCGTCACGTGATGTTTTGTTTGTTTGTTTGTTGTTTAATACCGCACTCAGCTATATTCCAGCTATATGATTGCGGTCCGTGAATAATCGAGTCAGGACAAGACGATCCTGTGATTGACATAAGGAGTATCGATCAACGCAATTGGGATACGATGCCGTGCATCAACCAGGATAGCGGACTGTATGAGAACAATGATCACGTGATCTATACCTACACTATATGAGAACAATGATCACGTGATCTATACCTACATTATATGAGAGCAATGATCACATAATACACGTTTAGACTGTGTGAGAACAGTGATCACGTAATATACATATAGACTATGTGAGTACAATGATCAAGTGATGTATACCTGGACTAACTGAGAACAATGGTCACGTGATGCATGTCTAGACTGTTTGAACAGTGATCGTCTGATACCCGTCTAGACATAGAACACATATCACCTGATACTTGTCTAGACAGAGAACACATATCACCTGATACCCGTCTAGACAGAGAAAAGTGATCACCTGATATCCGTCTAGACAGACAACAGATATAACCTGATACTTGTCTAGACAGAGAACACATATCACCTGATACCCGTCTAGACAGAGAAGAGTGATCACCTGATACCCGTCTAGACAGAGAACAGATATAACCTGATACTTGTCTAGACAGAGAACACATATCACCTGCTATCCGTCTAGACAGAGAAGAGTGATCACCTGATACCCGTCTAGACAGAGAACACATATCACCTGCTATCCGTCTAGACAGAGAACTGTATCATGTTATACGCGTCTAGACAGAGAACAGAAATAACCTGATACCCGTCTAGACATAGAACACATATCACCTGATACCCGTCAAGAGAAAAAACAGACATAATCTGATACCCGTCTAGACAGAAAACACTTATCACCTGATACCCGTCTAGACAGAAAACACTTATCACCTGATACCCGTCTAGACAGAGAACAGACATCACCTGATACTCGTCTTGACAGAGAACAGATATCATGTTATACGCGTCTTGACAGAGAACAGATATCACGTGATACCCGTCTAGACAGAGAAGAGTGATCACCTGATACCCGTCTAGACAGAGAACACATATCACCTGCTATCCGTCTAGACAGAGAACTGTATCATGTTATACGCGTCTAGACAGAGAACAGATATAACCTGATACCCGTCTAGACAGAGAACACATATCACCTGATACCCGTCTAGAGAAAGAACAGACATAATCTGATACCCGTCTAGACAGAAAACACTTATCACCTGATACCCGTCTAGACAGAGAACAGACATCACCTGATACTCGTCTTGACAGAGAACAGATATCATGTTATACGCGTCTTGACAGAGAACAGATATCACGTGATACGCGTCTAGACTATGTGAGAACAGTGATAATGTGATCCACATCCAGACTTGGCGAGACCATCTAAGTTTCTAATCTTCCGTTTTCATATATGACTGCAAAATAGCCTCGTATAGCTGCAGTAGGGCTGATGCGGCGTTAAGCAATATTCACTCACTCACTGCAGTTAACAGACCAGAAAGTAGAAAGAAATAACCTTCGAAAGAACTTCCATCAAATCTGGTAAACACACAGTAATTCATCATTGGAAACTACAGTAAACTACGGTTATAACGAACTCAAAGGGACAACTAATTTTAGTTCGTAATAACCGTAGTTCGTTATAAGCATATAAACAGGATATATACACCAAATGGCCGGGACTAAAAATAAGTTCGTTATATCCGTCAGTTCGTTATAAGCTTGTTCGTTTTAAACGTAGTTTACTGTACAATGAATGTAACAAATGTTGGATGCTTGTCAAGTTAACTGCAACGTTGTTTGGAGTATTCAGATCACATCGATCTAAACGCTACTGAAAAAAAGTTACTCGCCATTTAAATAATATAACTGTAGAACTAGGTTATAAACACAAATGTAAACACATTATCCATTTGAAACACAGTTTGATATGAATAGTGTTATCAACAATATATTCTGCAACAACCCAGGGTTGGCCGTGGCAAGTCACAAATGCATAATATTCAGCCAGTACTTACAAGTTCCGTTGATCCCAAACCTCAGAAATGTATCTCCACACGAATAAACCGATAATCTGCAGATAATCCTCAGTGAATAAACAATTAGAAGAACTGATGTACTTCTCGCAATAAACATTCCAAACACGACACACGCCCCACCTATTCCACTCTCGATAAACAAGAGTTAAGTTTCGATAGTCAAGATGAAACCAACACAGACCAGTGCGAAGTTACAAGCGCAGACGACAAACACTAAGCGCTACATTAGTAAAAACCAATAATAAATATTGACATTTTTGACGTTCAAAGCCTGTCATCGTTGCAAAGTTTGAAATTCGAAATCGAAACATCGAAATCACGACATGTCCTTTTCCGGCAATACTGGCTATTATGCATACTTTTGAAACAAATCACACACGATAATACTAACTTTCGTAATCCACGAGGCAGACGACAGCTTCCTAACTTGTGACACTCGCCGAGTGGAACCCACACTGACATCGACATAGATTTGGACATCGACTGTAAACACTGGACTCCACCGAGACACTAGCGGGCAGCTGCTTGTGCGCTTGATCAGCGCTGATCGATGCGAATGCCGGGATTGGCGTATGCATGCAGAGCGAAGCGTTATAGCGTCAAAACGGAACTACCAAAGGTGTTGGAATAACAATAACTCACACGTCTACGGCTTTACCGAGGTGCGTTCATGTGAATCGGAGTCGATCGCAATCGGTGCACGATGGAGCTTCAGAGTACAATGGAAGTAGATTACAGTTTACTTGTCAAAGGTTCCTTAATATATACACACAGGAGATTCCGGGGATTCTTTGTGCGGACGGAGAAGCTTTACTCTTCTAGGTTGAAAATGATTATAATTAGACGTATATATATATATATCCTCTCAACCTCCGTCCAACTCCTAATCCCCTCCCCCCCCCCCCCCCCCCCCCCCCCGGGTCGCAGTACAATATGCAGGGCGGAAGTGAATCCGTCAGCTGCAATGTCCGTGCTGGTGTGTGTGTGTGTGTTGGGGGGGGGGGGGGAGGTGAGATATCGCACAAGGATGCACGAAGAATTTGCATTTAGGCCTCTGAGGGTTAAGGGATGTGTATAATGGTGAAAAAAAGTGATAGATTGTTACACTAGCACTATTGTAACTGTCACACGTGCGTGACAAGGAGCACGCTTAGTTTTGTATTTAGGATCCTTGTCTGTTTGTTTGTTGTTTAACGCCGCACTCAGCTATATTCTAGCTATATGACGGTGTTCTGTAATTAATTGAGCCTGGACCAGACAATCCAGTGATTGACATCTTGAGCTTCCATCCACGCAATTGGGATACGACATGCATTAACCAAGTCAGCGGGTCTGACCACCCGATCCCGTTAGTCGCCTCTTACGACAAGCATGGGTTGCTGAAGACCAATTCAAACCCGGAATTTTCACGGGACATTTTGGATCTAAACGCATTTGTACAGTATAATGGGATGCTGGGCGGGTGAAGTAGTGGGATAAGTAAGTGATATTCATATAGCAATATTCCAGCAATATCACGGCGGGGGACACCAGAAATGGGAACCGAACCACCGTCTTCGGCGAGAGGAGCGAATGCTGTATCCATTAGGCTACTACACCGCCTAGGAATGGGATGATGGGCGAGTGAAGCAATGGGATGATGGATGAGAGAAGTAATGGGATGATGGACGAGTGAAGCAATGGGATGATGGACGAGTGAAGCAATGGGATGATGGACGAGTGAAGCAATGGGATGATGGTCGAGTGAAGCAATGGGATGATGGACGAGTGAAGCAATGGGATGATGGATGAGAGAAGTAATGGGATGATGGACGAGTGAAGCAATGGGATGATGGACGAGTGAAGCAATGGGATGATGGACGAGTGAAGCAATGGGATGATGGACGAGTGAAGCAATGGGATGATGGACGAGTGAAGCAAGGGATGATGGGCGAGTGAAGCAATGGGATGATGGACGAGTGAAGCAATGGGATTATGGACGAGTGAAGCAATGGGATGATGGACGAGTGAAGCAATGGGATGATGGACGAGTGAAGCAATGGGAGGATGGACGAGTGAAGCAATGGGAGGATGGACGAGTTGAGCAATGGGATGATGGACGAATGAAGCAATGGGATGATGGACGAGTGAAGCAATGGGATGATGGACGAGTGAAGCAATGGGAGGATGGACGAGTGAAGCAATGGGAGGATGGACGAGTGAAGCAATGGGAGGATGGACGAGTGAAGCAATGGGAGGATGGACGAGTTGAGCAATGGGATGATGGACGAGTGAAGCAATGGGATGATTGGCTAGTGAAGTAATGGGAGGATGGACGAGTTAAGCAATGGGATGATGGACGAGTGAACGAATGGAAGAATGGGTTAGTGAAGTAATGATATGACGGGCTAGTGAAGTAATAGGGGAATGGGTGAGTGAAGTAATGGTATGACGGGCTAGTGAAGTAATAGGAGGATGGACGAATGAAGTAATGGTATGACGGGCTAGTGAAGTAATAGGAGGATGGGCGAATGAAGTAATGGTATGACGGGCTAGTGAAGTAATAGGAGGATGGACGAATTAAGTAATGGTATGACGGGCTAGTGAAGTAATAGGAGGATGGGCGAATGAAGTAATGGTAAGACGGGCTAGTGAAGTAATGAGATGATGGGTGAGTGAAGTAATGATATGACGGGCTAGTGAAGTAATGGGATGATTGGCGAGTGTCGTTATGGAATTATTGGCGAGTGATTTAATGATATGATGGGCGAGTAAGCTAATGGGAGGACGGGAGAGTGAAGTAAAGGTAGGATGGGCGAGTGAATTATGGGGGTGATGGGCAAGTGAAGTATTGGAAGGACAGGCAAGGGTTTGCGAATGTTTTTTTATATTCTCACGATAATGGCTGATTACGTTTTCGGGATGTTGTAGGATGCATTAGTGAGTCAAATGTTGTCGGTATTACAGCATTAATAGAAACGGCAGTCAACCTCCCCACTCACTAATCCCACAATCAACAGATAATGCCTCATTAGGAGATCCCCTTGGGCGTGATGGGAGGTACGTCGCAACCTAACAAAAACTTGCTCCATGTTGAAGGATTAATGTTGAAGCTTTGATATCAGTATTTGCTGCCTCCAACCGCAGGGGTGTCAGTAAATGTAGTTCGTGCTCCATATTAAATTGTTTTTATTTAGAATGAACTTAATGTGAAAGGGGACATCGGTGAAAAATTAATTAACATCGATCGTTTAACCATGTCGTTATTTCATCATTTAATACATGAGGAAAATACAGAGAATATTTTCCAACCTGTATACACGTTCGGCTAACCAACAATAGACTCGCCAATGCACGTGGACTAAAATCAATGTTTTCAATCAGCTTCCTCGTTACCTGAACGTGATACTCACTTCCTCGTGCCTCACACCCACGTCCGAGACAGCAGTGAATAACTAGTTCAGCCACCGGAACGTGATGCTGACATCATACTTCAGAGATCTGAACGTGATGTTGACTTCATACTTCAGAGATCTGAACGCGATGCTGACTACATACTTCAGATATCTGAACGTGATGCTGACTTCATAATTCAGAGATCTGAACGTGATGCTGACTTCATACTTCATAGATCTGAACGTGATGCTGACTTCATACTTCAGAGATCTGAACGCGATGCTGACTACATACTTCAGAGATCTGAACGTGATGCTGACTTCATACTTCACAGATCTGAACGCGATGCTGACTACATACTTCAGATATCTGAACGTGATGCTGACTTCATAATTCAGAGATCTGAACGTGATGCTGACTTCATACTTCACAGATCTGAACGTGATGCTGACTTCATACTTCACAGATCTGAACGCGATGCTGACTTCTTACTTCAGGGATCTGAATGTGATGCTGACTTCATAATTCACCGATCTGAATGTGATGCTGACTTCATACTTTGAATGTGATGCTGACTTCATACTTCAGAGATCTGAACGTGACACTGACTTCATACTTCAGAGATCTGAACGTGATACTGACTTCATAATTCACCAATCTGAACGTGATACTGCCTTCCTTGAGCTGGGAATAATTAGTTCCTCCATATTTCACAATCTGAACGATATATTGCCCTTTATAGTACACCGATCTGAACATGATACTTTCCTTTTCAATTCAACGATCTGAACGTGATACTTTTCTTCTTGGTTCAACTATCTGAACGCGAAACCTTTTTTCTTGGTTCAACGATCTGAACGTGAAACTTCCCTTCTTAGTACAAAGAACGTGATATTTTCCTGTACATAATTGTGTAGGTCGATGCTCATGATGTCACTCACTTGATTGTCTGATCCAGTCTCGATTATTTACAGACCGCTGAAATATTGCTACGTCAAACAACAAACAAACAAACCATTAACAACCATCTCTCCGATGTATTATAAAATTATCTGCATCCTTCCTTTTTTAATTATTGCTAAAGTGGAAATGGCATGTCAATACCATTCTATTGCACCATTTTACGAGATTGTTTTATAGCCCTAGAGATGCTTCTAATTTACAAAATGTTTTTTTTATATTTCCGTAAAACGTTGAATAGTGAATAATTTATCATGATAGGGTATTGTGGATAATGAACGGGTTTTCTACCAAACCGTCTGTTCCTCACATTTCTTCGTAGTATTGGTAGTAGTAGTAGTAGTAGTAGTAGTAGTAGTAGTAGTAGTAGCAGCAGCTCCTTATAGTCTAGATGGGACTCCAATCTCTTATAGGGACAATCTGGAACTTATGGAACTAATAATTATTGCCTGAGAGACTTGTGCAAGTCTATAGTTGTAGCTGTAGTAGTAGTAGTAGTTGAAGTAGTACCTTAAGTAGTATTTGTGGCTATACCTGTCGTTAGTAGTAGCTTTAGAAGTAGTTGCAGCTGTAGTAGTTGTTGATGTTGCAGTAGTAGTTGCAGCGGTAGTTGTGTTTGTAACTGTAGTAGTAGTTGTAGCTGTAGCGGTATTGCAATCGTATTATCCTCATTTGCACTATGGCGTCTCAATTCGACACTCCGGCGATCCGCTTGTGCAGAGTTTGCATTGTAGCATTTCAATATACCAGCAACAGACAGCAATGTATTTATACTTCAGTGTGAAAGACTGAGTTTTCTGAAGTTGAAAAACAGATATTTTCATTGCAGTGAACATAACACTTGATATTTCACTGCAGTGAACATGACACTTGATATTTTCACTGGGGGCACATAACTTCTCATCCCTTGACGGGTTAAACTGTGAGTTAATTGACACCCCCCCCGCCCCCCCCGCAACTTCTACACCCATACTCTCCACAACTTGTACACTTGTACATCTGCAAGCGGTTGCCTGGTGATATGGGATACAATCAAATTGGAAGTATTACATCATATCATTAGTCGCCACGATTCTCTCCACGACAAATCCCTGTTTATAATTACGAGCTACCGGTGATAATATCAAGCTGAAACATTGCACGTGTAGATTAAACAAGACGAAAGATGAGTTCATTGAACGGGAGTGAGAGAGACAGTCAATACTAATACAATGATGTAAAAGGAATTTC